AGAGTGGGCGATATTATTGAGAAGCCCGGCGCGGGCATGTAAGGTCCCAGAGAAGGGGGACTATTGAGAAGCCCGAGACGGGCGTAGCGAGCCCGGCTGTAGGCTAGTGCGGCAACAGCCCTCAGATAGGGGCAGGGTGCTGCGGTGGACCCCGACGGAAGGGGTTAGTAGTACGACGCCCCAGGAGAAAGGCAAGATGCTGCAGTGGTCCCCGGAGAAAGGGGATAGCAGTGCGGTGAGCCGGGATCAGAGAGGGTAGCTGTGCAGTTGGCCTAAAGGACCGGAGACCCGCTAGAGGGTCCCTGAGTGGGACAACACTTTTAGAGAAGGCCCAGAGTGGGCTTGACGAGAGTCCCAGTGAGGGGCTGTGTATTAGAGAGAGCCCAGGAGTGGGCTAGACTACTGGGGAGGCCCTGGAGTGGGCTAGATTACAGAGGAGGCCCAGGACAACGGGCGTGTAACGTGACAGACCAACGTCCAGCACATCAGCGAGGCTTGGGGCTTGGTATTAGGGGTTGGTAGGAGCCACGCATAGCCCATAAGGCTAGGGTGTCTGGGGAGCACCCATCATACTCGGAGACCCCCAGGGGGTCCAGGAACACACGGGGACAGAGGTCCCAGCTATCTGTGCCCAGGGAGTCATAGGCAGCCTCCCAACTATACATAAACATCAAAGACGTGGCGGGCGAGAATTTGAGGGTGCCCTTGGGCCGACTTGGCACGGTGAGGGGGCCATAAGGAGACCGCGGCCCTCCTGCAGGACCCTGCCGTGACACACATATTAACAACATTTTATAGAAGCAGGACATTGGCTGCTCTCGTTCCTTTGCTTTGCCTGTAGCAGGTTAGGATATTAGATCTGTGTTGTGTCAGGGTTGATGGTAGTCTTATCTAGAATTTAAATTATGGATCGTATGGGATGGTTTGGATAGAGATGATCCTGCCTCAGGCAGGGGGTTGAACTAGATGACCTTTGGAGGTCCCTTCCAGCCCTACTTCTCTATGATTCTAAGCAGTCCTACTCCAATCTAATGTAGACTTTATTTCAGTAAAAATCAGCTTATTCTGGGATAGCCATTTACCCAAGGCAAACAGGCCACTGGCACTGCCACCTGATAGTGAAGTGGTCTACCTTCTGCAGATCTGTCCATTCCAGACCAAGTATGATTTATACGGGTGCTCAAAACCAATAAAAGTTATATGCCAATGTGTACATGTCACCTGTATAAGTCCTGGGTTCATGAATGGATTAGCAGCTTTCCTGATGTTCAACAACTCTCTTTCTCCATTCTTGCCCCCCTCCTCCTCTCATAGTTGTGCCCTGTCTAAAGAAACTGGTGGAGGTACCATACATTCAAGTTGTACATTTTTAGAAACCCTGTAGGTCATAGGTTATCCACATTTCACTGATAGCAGTTTGTTCAGTCCTGACCCATCTCTAATTACTCAATTCAGTATTATAGTCTGGATTCCCCTAGTCAACTGGCACAAAATTAGAACAATTAAAACATACAGACAGAGTTCAGAACATCTACTCAACATTAATAAAAGTAAAAATTACTGTATTTTATTTCTTCATCACTCCCGCTTAAATATGGACGCCAAAAAGCTTCAATTCCCCCATAGCAAGAATTTTTTCCATATTTTTCAATTTATTTACAAATCAAATATGCTTAAAGTAGGTGTGTTTTACCGATCCTCAAGAGTAACACAGATGACAAACCAAAGGGCTACAACTTCTTAAGTGATTATATAATCTGAGAGTTGCAGACCATTGGGATTTTACTGTATAACACTGACTAGGATAAAAGGAGTCTTGCATTATTAATGCTCTGTTTTTTAACTTTTTTTTCAGCTCACGCAAAGGCACTTACTCTGAAAGCTGTTCACTGAAAAGATGTTGGGATGATAGAATCCAGCCTTGCAAATGCATTTGTAGGCTCCAAGCACAAATCCAAGACCTTTAATTGGCATGCACTGTGAGAAAGAAAAAAAGGAAGGGAAAGAAAGTAATGCAGATGATCACACACCTATAGACAGAGATGCACAGTCAATTGTAAGGCAAAAAAAACTATATAAGGTACAACAAATAAGCCTTCTTGCAAGAATGTACCAACCTAATTTGACATTGTGTTTCTTCAGTGATTTTTTTCCCCAAAGTCATGTTTCAGCTATACATTTTCCCCTGAAGTTCAGATCCAGCAAATTGCAATAACATTTATAGCCCAGCTCATCCAATTGCTAAACAGAAGTGGTCAACTGGCAAATTTGATTTTCAGCACTTTGGAGTGTTGCTTCACACAGGTTCTCCTTCAGTCACGGCAAGACCAAAGACAACGGTCAGGGGTAGGAACAAATATAGCCCTAACCTTCCATCAGTAAAAGAACAAATAGACAGAAGGGTCTTCACATCAGTGGACCAGAGGCGTGGAAGCCGACAGTACAAAATTCATACTTCTGCACACAAGATCCACACCTATTTGGAATGATGGGATAACAGTATGAAGAAATTACCAAAGAAAACTGGCTAACTAAAAACATGAGCCTGTACCAAAGGGCTTTTCTTTACAGAAAAATATTTTGCCTAGCTACTTGTTCTCAAGCATCTATCTAGGAAGAAATAAAAAGTGAAATTAGTTATAAGTTTTCCTTTCACTCAGTTTGAATACCAAAATTATTAATGCAGCATTAATACTATTTTGAGACCTGTTTCATAACAGCAAGATACCTGGGTATGGCTGTAACACTTCCAGAGAACTCCTAAGAGCACTACCAAGAAGCACACTCCTGCCCATCCATTCCAAACACACCAAACCAGGAAATAAGCCAGTTAAGATAGCTTGAGGAAAGCCCCATCCATGGCTTCTGACATTCTCATCTCCATTATCCTTGAAAGAAGCAGCAAGTCGCCTCGTTTCTGGGTTTCACACATACAAAATAGGACCAGTTAGATGGGGAGGGAGGATGAGTATGCCACAGAGCAGCATAGATATCCTGTAGTCTCAAAGGCTAAATACAGACATTTGGGGATGTTAAATCAGGTGCAAAATGGCCACCCAATTTAAACTAACTTGTCCTGGTGCCGAACTTACATTTACAGACCCAGTCTCAGTGACCGGAAATCAATCTACATCTATAACGGTACAGAAGTTCCATGCACACAAACTGGTCTAAAATTGCAGCATCAGGTTTATGATAAACCTGGGTGGACGTATTATAAAACTTACTTGACATGGGTCAGACTGG